TGACATGTTAATTTTGGGATGTCTACTGGGTATCCAAGTCAGATGGAAGATGAGAGATCAGTAGAGAGGATAAGGAAAGATAGATAGATTTGAGAATTAACATCATAAGATGGTAATCAAATGCATAGAAGTTGATGAAATCACCAAGTGAAGTAGAAGGAGAAGAGAAGAAGACCCAGGACAGAACCCTGTGGGATACCTAAAATTAGATGGCATGATCTGGATGAAGATCCAGCAAAGGAGACTGAGAATGAACAATTTGATAGGTAGAAAGAGAACCAGGAGAGAATGGGGTCCTAGAAAACTATAGAGAAGAGAGTATCAAGGAAGAGAGAGTGATCAATAGTGCCAAGGGCTGCAGAGAGGTTGAGGAGAATGAGGATTGAGAGAAAAGCCATTGTATTTAGCAATTAAGAGATGATTGGTAACTTTGGAGGGAAAAGTTTTTGTGAAATGACAGATCAGAAGGGGCTAAAAAGAGATTGAGTAGAGAAAGTGGAGACAGCCTTTTCAAGGAATTTAGCCACAAAGGGAAGAATAGATATAGAATGATAGAGGGGATAAATAGTTTAAGTAAGGGTTTTTCAGGATGGAGGATACATAAGCATGTTTTTAGTAGGGAAGAAGCCAGTAGACAAGGAGAGATTGAAGAAAAGTGATTGATTGGAATGACAGAGGGAACAATCTGTTGGAGGAGCTCAAAGGAATGGGATTGCTTATGCAAGCAGAAGGGTTAGCTTTGATAAGGAGTAAGGCCCACCTCTTTATGTGAGATATGAGTAAAGGAAGAGATAGTGGCTGAAGACATATGAATAATATGAGATGAGGAAGAAAGTTCTAGAGTAAGCTCATGATGAATGGCTTCAAATTTTTTTTTTTTTGTAAAATATAAGGAAGGTTCTCAGCTAAGAGGCTGAGGAGAGGTAGAGTCATGGGAGGTTTGAGGAAGGAAGAAAAGGATTAGAAGAGCCACTGTGGAGAACAGTGAGTTGATAAGAGGTATAGTAGGATTCCCTGGTACCAGTCAGGTCCCAGTTGAAGTTGTGCAACGTAAGTTTTAGTGGACCCAATCAGAACAGTTGCTTGACTTTCTCTACTTTCATTCAGTAGCATATGTGTAGGAGCAGAGGCAGTGTGATGGTCGGAGTTTTCTAAGGCTGAGGTTTACCAGGGCGTAATTGGTGATATGATAAGTGGGTTGGGGATTCAAGAGGACAATGTAGAATTGAATTGGTTCACCAACGGGTCAAGATAGGGAAAAGAGTAGTGAGTAGCAAGTAGAGGGGAGATGGCCTGGGAGAGATTTGAGAAGTTGAGGGATTAGAAGTCATGATACAGAGAAAGAGATAGAAAACCAATATGGTCAGATAAGAGGATTTCAGAATTCTTAAACATGAGGTGGTTCATTTGTGGCTAATGGCAAGATCAAGGTAGTGTGGGGGACTAGGCCATGCTTATGATTTTTGAGGGATTCTCTCTCTCTCTCTTTTTCCTCTCCTAAACACACACACACACACACACACACACACACACACACACACACACACACATGTTCCTAAGTATGAGGGCAGGAGTTTGGGAGGAAAGATTGTGAACCAGGTACTGAACTCATTAAAGAAATAAGGGAAGTGACCTGGAGATCTATAGATAATAGCTACCAGGTTAAGGTTCTATATAAATCTAAAATCTTATGTGTATTAAGCTCTTTACAAATTTTGTGGCACTATTTTATAATACTTCCCTCAAATTTATACATGATCCTGGTCTCTGACTTTGAACAACTGAAGCCATTCAGAAAAATTGTCATGTTGCTTTTTAAAAGTGCAAAACCTGAGAAACTGTCCAAAAAATTCCAAAGAAAAATCCACAATACACGCTGATAGGGTTTAGCAATTTCCCATGATTGCTTTTTAATTTATTTAAGAGAAACAAAAATATTCAGCCTATTCATCCTGCTGGAAAACTTCTTTCTGCTCTATTTCAAAACTCTTGATAAAGCAAGAGAAATCATCATAAATACACACATATATATGTATGTATACACACACACACATATATACATACATAAACACATATATACATGTGTATGTGGTTTTTTGTTTGTTTGATTTTTTTTTTGCTAAGCAATGGGGTTAAGTGACTTGCCCAGGGTCACACAGCTAGTAAGTGTCAAGTGTTTGAGGCTGGTTTTGAACTCAGGTCCTCCTGACTCCAAGGCCAGAGCCCTATCCACTGCACCACCTAGCTGCCCCTATGTGTATGTGTTTTATGCTTCCTTTAAATGATTTAGTCAGTTGACCAAATGTCATTTATCTGTGGAACATCATACTCTTCACCTGGGAGATATAAATAGCTATTTAATATATCTCTAGTAATTTCCCTTCACCATTCTGATAAGCCTTATAATGGTATAGTTAAGTTCCCCTATAAGATTAACAACATGCTGCATATGTCTTAGGAACTTTTAGCTACAAAAGCCAAATCTCTACTTTTATAATATATATTTTTGGCAGTTTAGTTCAGTTTCCAGAGGCCCAGATATTTCTCTGGCTAACAGCTCTGAAACACAACACTTTGTCCATTTGGCAAGCAGTTGGTACTAACACATATACTGTTAGAATCCATACTCACTGAGCAGCATTTATTAAGTACTTACTGTGAGCCAGACACTGTGCTAGAACAAAGCATACAATCCATCCAAAAAAATTAATAATGAATGTCCTGACTTTGTCACCTCCAAAGACATCTCAGTTAAATAATTAACCTTCATAGGTTAAAAGCATCAAAGTACTTTGAAGTAAGGAGCTTAAGGGAAGATAAAAAGAGAAAGTATAAAATCATAATAAAAAATAAAGGTTTCCCTCCTAAGCAAGATGCAGTTTTAATTCAGAAACAGGCTTTCCTTGCTCTGGTCAACATGCAGCTCTTTCTATAAAGCTTTTAATTCTTCACCAATCAAATATAGACTATGGATTCAAAGGCAGAGTAAAACAACTGATAAGTTTCCAAAATTTCCTTTTAAAATGTCAAAATAGGGACAGCAAGGTGGTGCAGTAGATAGAGCACTGGCCCTGAAGTCAGGAGGACCTGAGTTCAAATCCAGCCTCAGACCAAACACTTGACACTTACTAGCTGTGTGGCCCTGGGCAAGTCACTTAACCCCAATTGCCTTTAAAAAAACAATAAAATAAAATAAGACGTGAAAATAGAAAAGGCATTATTTAGGTTTATTTTATAATTGGGAATTTCCTCTTAATATCTTTCTCCAGTTTATATTAGACTCAGGAAGATTTAATTTCACACTGATGTTATCATCGATTTAGCAAAAAAAAAATTGATTTTGAAGATTTTTTTTCCCTAAAATCTTTCTAGTACTCTTATGTATGCTGATAAATGCCATTCTGAGTTTAAGATGTGTAGCAATTTTCATTTATGTGCATGGAAGACCACCTTAAAGGAGTAAATAAAGAGGTTAAGTCATAGTTTCTAATTTTTTTCCAATTGAATTGTAGACGTTCTATTTAAGTGGACAATTAATTAGTCACTTCCAAAATAGTAATGTATCATCTTGATTAATAAACAATCCCCGCAGTTGATTATGGGTCTTAAGTATTCAGCAAGTCCCTGTATACGCTCAGGTCATTCACTAAATCTCTTTTCAGGTAGGCAGGGTTATATGGAAGATGAGCTAGAATGAGTCTATAAAAGTCAATTTCATTCACTGTGCATTTTTCAGTCAAGTACTTCAAATGTCCAGAAATTCATCTGAAATGTGAGACAGGAGAAAAGACTGGCACGCAGAGTATTGCTTTATGACCGCACAAAAGGGCTGCTGACCCTTACCAAACTTCTTTCTATATGAAACGATTCCTAAAATTCATCAGCACAGTGAAAAATTATGGTGAGGTCGCGTGTGGATGAGTAAAGCAAAAGTAATGATTGGTCATGGTTTTCTCTGCCATTGTTGTTGATCCTGGACCATGTAAAATGCTCTGTGGGAAAGCGTCAACCTCTTAAATAGGTGTTCAGAAGCTTTCAGCTCATTAAATTGCCAGCATTTGCTGCCTCACTTGTCAAGAATCATTCTGTTTAGCAACTGCTATCCAGTCATATTCATAAACTACATCTTCATAATTAGCATGTGTCTACATTAAAATGTGATATAAAAATATAGTTTAGAAAAATTGAACTTTGATCTCACTTTTCACTTGAGAAAATACTCTGTATGAGTGCATGAGGAGATACAAGGATAAGCATATGATCCAATGTTTTCTAGAGATACCAAGATAATAGTAATGTAAACAACAACACCAGTCTTCCTTAATTATAAACTTAAAAATTGCCTGATAGCGAGCCTTAACTTACCCGTATATCTCAAGATCAAGTTTAGCTTTAGTCAAAGAACTTTTGTGATTCACATGGAAAAAAGAAGTTACTTTAAAATATTGAAGTATTTTTTCCTAGTACTGGGAGAAAAATGTTCTTCAAAATAGTTCTTAAAAGGTTACTGTTACATTTTTTTTCTTTTGAAAGCATGAGAAGCATTTAATTCCTTATGGGAAAAAACTTATTCAATGTAATTACTTTTCATAAATCATCATTTTCTAAATCATAATTTAAGAGGATCAAATATTTTTGCCCAGTCTGTGCTTTCTTTACACTTTTATTCTCATTTCATTTATGAATATTATTGCTACACATTTCAATAATAGCTAAGTTGATTCATTAGAAATATTTAATATTAGATCAAAACCAAGGAATTTTACTTAGCTAGCAGGGTTTTAGGACTTTCATGCCATTAGAAGCCTCACACAATTGCACAGTATGTTTGTGATACACCATGAATCCTTGGAAACCTCCTGAATGGGGTTGCTGTGATTTTTACTGAGAAATTAGCTTCTTGACATTGCATTACCAATTAGTTTTCTAGAACACATTAAATCCTGCTGCTTTGGTTTACAGAATAACTCAAGCATTACTGATGAAGCATAAAAACTTACTTGGTGAGGCAGTGGGAGACACAGGGTGCTGACAGGACCCACCACAGCAGGTTGAGTAGAATTGTGGACCTCTCAGAAAAAAAAGTTTGGAAGAAGCTGCAGATAAAACATCAATCTCATTGGTTATCCATTTATTTTAGATAAAATACCAGTTGCTTAAAAGTCATTAAACAGTGCCTTCTGAACCCCATTTTTTACTTGTCAAATAGTAATCCTTTAATATTAAAAGCATGATTAGCCAAATGAGCTGCCACATATGTTTACTACATTATTTTGGCAAGGTTTCATGGACTTTGCAGGTTGAATTAAAATACATTATGAAATAATGAACCATATATGTTTACATATATAATGTATATATTTCCTGAACTATGTAGTCATATTTATTAATATAATGTGTTCTGGATACCCTGAAAATCAGGAAATAAATGTTTGCTACATTTATAGACATAGATTTTTTTAAAATAAACTATTTAACTAAGTATTTATAGGAAGCTATTTAAAATATATAGTCAGATTCCACGGTTACTGACATTATAATATGTTATTTTATAGCTCAGTGAATGAAAAGTACATATCAAACATTTCTGATTATATTAGCAATATTGTAGTATCTATGAATTTATAAAGCCCTTTTACTTGAGAAAAAAAAATATCCAAACCAAATCACTTGCAAATATAGCATATATAACACTTCTTTTAAAACTTTGGGCTATTATTTGTTTACATTTTTAACCATTGATTCAAAAAAATATTACTTTTAGAAATATTTAAACTAAATTATAATCTCCTTTCCTCATGACACATTTTACATTCATATTCCTCTACCCCCATTCATAGATAAGGAAACTTAGAGTAGGAGGTGGCTAGCACTTATCTTGGGTAGAAAATTACAATAGCTGAACCCCCTACTAGCCAATATGATGTCAAATGAAATGGGATGTTAACTATATGCTTAAAAAAAATAACTTGTACTTTGCAACATGATTTTGTAATTTAAAAAAAACACAAACTTTTTATGTTCGTATGCAAGTGAATCTTTTCCAGTCATAATATATGGGAACATATATGGAAACAGTATTTTACAGGGTTGTTGTTAGCTCTTGATCAGATTTATAAACTTTAGATCACAACTTTCCTAGGTAAGGTTGGAGTGATTTCAATCTAAGCTGTACTTGAAAGGTAAAATGGATTTTAACTGTGATGAAGTAACTTAGCTAAAGTTTCAGAGTTACACCTCCACTATCTCATAGCTAATTAAATAATAGCTAATCCATGAACTAGTTTTCTTACTATTAGACTAGAATTATCAAATATGAGTCATGAGTGTTTGCTGATTGTACCATTATATCATAAAGTATCTATTTTTAATCTTGATTTTCTGAAGATGAAGACAAATGCAGACATACAGAAAATGAAGCCTAGTAGACGACACCAGTATAAAGAACAAGTTTCTATTAGGAGCTATTCTTATAAATAATGTAGTGGTTTAAGTATAAGTTCATTCATTTTGATTTAACATCACAAATTATATTCTAGTGTCCTAAATTAGGAGAACCCTTATATGTTAGTTTTATGAAGATGGATGATATATGTATAAGAGCAGAATGTGGCTCATTATTTTATACTTTCTGATCAGACATTTAATTGAATTCCAGAATTAACATTCCATAGAAAATTGAAAGTATAGCTGCAATGTTGGTTGGCATTTTTTTCCTTTAAGAGGAAAAAAACAGAAAAACTATAAGTTTGTTTTTCTGGAAATCTATATGAATTGAATACAGATCATGTTAGCTGGAAAGGCTAAGTAGAGAAATCTCACTAAATAATTAGCATAAATTAACAACAACAACAAAATTGTACTAACTGTGCCATATGTGATTTTTATTTTATTTTACTTGAAATACTTTATTTTCTGAATTACATGTGAAGGCAATTTTTAACATTCATTTTTAAAGACTTTTGAGTTCCAAATTTTCTCTCACCTTCTCTTACCTTGCCCTTCCCTGACATGGTAAGCAATTTGATATAGGTTTTTTTATGTGAAATCATGCAGAACGTATTTCCATATTAGTCATGTTATGAAAGAAAATAGACCCAAAAAACCCACAAAAAATAAAGACAGTGAAAAAGAATATGCTTCAATCTGAATTCAGATTCCATAAGTTTTTTCTCTAAATATGGATAGCATTTTTCATCATGAGTCCTTTGGAATTGTCTTGAATCATTGTATTATTGAGAATAGCTAAGTCATTCACAGTTGATCATTGAACAATATTGCTGTGACTATGTAAAATGGTCTCCTGCATCTGCTCACTTCACTTTGCATCAGTTTGTGTAAGTCTGTCCAGGTTTTTCTGAAATTGGCCTGCTCTATTTCTTATAGCACAATATTATTCCATTACAATTGTATACCACAATGTGTTCAGCCATTCCTCAATTAATGGGCATCCTCTCATTTTCCAATTCTTTGCCACCACAAAAAGAGCCATTATAAATAGTTTTGTATAAATAGTTCCTTACCCTATTTTTTTTAATCTCTTTGGGATACAGACCTAGTTGCAGTATTGCAGGATCAAAGGGTGTACACAGTTATAGACCTTTCAACATAGTTCCAAATTGCTTTCCAGAGTGGTTGGATTAATTCACATTTCCACCAATAGTGCATTAGTGTCCCAATTATTCCCTTCAATATTTATTATTTTCTTTTTCTGTTATATTAGCCAATTTGATAGGTGTGAGGTGGTACCTCAGTTATTTTAATTTGCATTTCTCTAATCAATAGTGATTTAGAGCTATATGTGATTCAGACTATATAGTGATTTTCCAATATAAAAAAATCTGTCAAGTGTTCTGCAATGTACTTTATAACTACCACTCCTTTCTGCACCCCACTCCACCTCCAAAAAGGGATAAAAGAATTAAGATCACTAAGACTAGATCTTCAATTATTTAGGTGAGATTTAACTTAAGTTAATTGGGCAAGAGCAAAAAAATTTTTACAACTAAATGGACTGATATTTTCTTAGGGAATAATCTATATGGATTGTATGTTTGCTATAAACAAAAATTAAAGTCTGGGGATTCAGAAATATTTAAGAATGAGTTAAATCAGCTTTATACTCAAATTCTATCATGTCTACCATTTCTATTACTTCCACAATGACAGAAAATGATGCTACAGAATAGCCAATTCCTACATACACACACACACACACACACACACACACACACACACACACACATCCCTTTCTGCCAAAAGTATTGTTTCAAGTAGCTCACTGCTCATTCTGATTCCTTCAATTTCATTGTTATTGCTAGCATTTCTAATATAATATCGAATAATATTGGTGTTGGTGGGTATCCTTGCTTTGCTCTTGATCTTGTTGGAAAGGTTTCTAGCTTATCCCTGTTACAAATAATGCTTGCTGATGACTTTAAATAGATGTTTCTTATCACTTTAGGAAAAAATCAATTTATTCTTAGGTTTTCAATTGTCTTAATAGGAATGAATGTTGTATTTTTGTCAAAAGCTTTTTCTACATCTATTGATACAATCATACAATTTTTGTTGCATTTGTTATGAGAAGTTATGTTAGCAGTTTTCCTTATGTTAAACCATCCCTGCATTCCTGGTATAAATCCCAGTTGGTCACAATGTATAATCTTTGTAATACAAGGTAGTAAGTAGTCTGCTAGCTAGTATTTTATTTAGGATTTTTGCATCCATATTCATTAATAAAATTGGTCTATAATTTTCTTTGTTTTTGTTCTTGATTTAAGTATCAGTACCATATTTTTTTCATAAAAGGAGTTTGGTAGAACTCCTTTTTTGTCTATGGTCTATTGGTTTATTTAATATTGGAATTAGTTGATCTTTAAATATTTGGTAGAATTCACTTGTAAATCCATCTGGTCCTGATACTTTTTTTCTTAGGAAGCTCATTTATAGATTGTTCAATTTCTTTTTCTAAAATTGCTTTATTTAGCTATTCTATTTTCTCTTCTGTTAATCTAAGCAGTTCATATTTTTGTAAATATTCTTCTATTTCATTTAAATTGTTAAATTGATTGGCATATCATTGGGCAAAATAACTCTTAATAATGGCTTTGATTTCATCTTCATTAGTGATATATTCATCATTTTTATTTTTTATATTAGTGATTTAGTTTTCTTCTCTTTTTAAAAAAACCATATTTACCAATTGTTTATCTATTTTATTGGCTTTTTCATAAAACCAACTCTTAATTTTATTAATAAAATAATTTTCTTACATTCAATTTTATTAATATCACCTTTAATTTTTAGGATTTTTAATTTAATATTTAATTAGAGATTTTTGATTTGTTCTTTTTCTAGTTTTCTAGTTATTTTATTCTTTTTCTAGTTTTTAATTGAATACCCAATTCATTGCTCTGCTTTTCCTCTATTTTTCCCCTCTATTTTATTAATGCAAGCATTTAAAATTTTATAGCAAGCATTAAATGCTTTTTCTGCATTCCATAGGTTTTTTTGTATGTTGTCTCATTATTATCATTCTTTTTAATAACATTATTTGTTGTTTCTATGACTTTTTTTAAGCCAATCATTTCTTAAGATTATTTTATTTAAAAAAATGTTACGTTATTTAGTCTCCAATTAATTTTTTATCTGTTTCCATGGCCACTGACTAAATAAAATTTTTATTGCATCGTGATCTGAAAAAGATGTGTTTAATATTTCTGTGTTCCTGCATTTAACTGCAAAGATTTTATGTCCTAATATATGGTCAATTTTTGTAAAGGTGCCATAGACCACTATGAAAAAAGCATATTATTTTCTATTCCCATTCACTTCTCTCCAGATATGTATCATATCTAGATTACCTAAAATTCTATTCATCTCTTTGAGTTCTTTCTTATTTTTTTTTTGGTTAGATTTATCTAGTTCTGAGAGGGGAAGTTTGAAGTCCCTCACTACTATACTCTTGCTATCTATTTCCACTTGTAATTCACTTAATTTTTCCTTTAAAAATTTGAATGCTATAATATTTAGTGCATATAGGTTTGATATTATATTATTTCCTTATTATCCCACATTATAATAGTATCATAAT